TTGGACGTGGTCGATGAGTCGGTCTGTTTCGGCACTACCGCTATTGGACCTATAGAGGCATCCGTAGACGCGCGGATGGTCGTCGCTGTCTACGCGTAGCCAAAGGATGGATAGGTCCGAACCTTCAAGACTGCCGAGGCGTCGAGAACAGATGTCCTCTCTGACATACACGCAAACTCCAGCCCGAGGCACAAAGGAGTGCTCCAATTTGTACCCCGGGTAGGAGAGATACGAAATATCAGCCGGAGAGGAAACCTGCGTCTCGGTCAGAAAGAGCAAGGCCGGCTTCGCCGTCTCGAGATGGTAGTGGACGGCGTTTAGGTTAGAGTGAAGTCCCCTGATGTTGCAGAAATTCACGGATAGCGTGGCAGGGGTCGCCTTGGTATTGTTGCTCAGCTTGCCCCGAGCAGTTTTGTTTTTGAGCGGAATTTTGCCCCCCCCCCCAGAATACGCGGGGCAGCCTGAGCACCCACGCTCAGGATTGGAATAACATGGTCGTGGATGCTCAGCGAGGGATTCTCCAGGGGTAGTCTATTGTCTAATTCCGCTACCATGTTGATGGGGGGGGGGGGAGAATTGGGCCACCGGCCACCTGCACTCACCAGACGAAACGCAGAAGCAGAGCCTCTACTTCACGCTGGTATTCTGTGAGGTCGTGGTACCAGCCCGGCTCGAGCCGGCCCATACGTGCAACATCAAAAACTATTGCGGGGCTCTACCACCGTTAAATTTGCTAAATCATTGTCACGCACTATTCAAAATTGTTTCACTAATAGTGAAAATAGTTGGCAAAAATTATTCACTTTCGCGTATTCCCATTTTATTTTGATAAAACAATAAATAAATCAATTACGTCTCAACTAAAAGAGACATCTTTTCAAAATTTAGATTACCCAATTAATGCTCATTTATCTCGAACACGTCCTAAATTTGATTTTAAACAAGTAGATAGTAAACAAGAGTCGAAAGTAATGGATGGCGACTTAAAAAATGCATCCCGTATTTTATTCTTAGACGACATCTTGGCTCCTCGTAATGTCGAAACTCTTGAACCCCTTAGTCAGAATCATCCTTCGGTCAAACCTTCTCAGGGTTTACCGCTGCCTCCCAAGAGTTCTATGCAACCTTTACAAATTTCTGAAAAAGACACTTTGGAAGCAATTATATCATTTTAATATATACATATTATGATGATGATGATGATGACATATTATGACATCTTAAAGATCTTGTAAGCGCTTTTGCCGGTGACGCCGGCGGAGTACTTCTTAAAGACATTACAAAATTATGTAACGTTATGCTTTCTGGTAATGTTAATCCAAATTTCATTGCATTCTTATATGGGGCAAGGTCATGTGTCTTCAAAAAAAGGATAAAGGTATCCGTCCTATTGCCGTTGGTTCCACATTTTGACGCTTAACTTCAAAATTAGCTTGCAGGCACATAATCTCTAACCTTAAGACCAAATTTCAGCCTACTCAACTAGGCTTTGGCACTAGAGGTGGCTGTGAAGCGGCTGTACACTCAGTGCGTACATTTTTAACAAACTGTGATGCAGATGTTCTTGTGAAGGTTGACCTAAGGAATGCTTTTAACTCTATCGATAGGGTAACCTTGCTGAAAGAAGTGGCTAACAACACCCTCGAAATTTATCATTACGTTTGGTAATGTTATAGTCAAAATACTAACTTGTTTTACGAAAACCATGTTATCGATTCTGCTGTCGGTGTTCAGCAGGTGATCCACTTTTCAGTTTGGGAATTCAACCCATTATTTCAAATTTGGTCAATTTCTAAAAAAACCCATTATTTCAAAAAATGAGCGGGGAAACGTAGGCAAGAACAGCGTTCTTGGCCCGATACCGCGGGGAGTAAGACTATATGATAATTAAGTTTCTAGTTTTAGTTTTTTATTATTATTATAGTTTTTAATATTGAATATAATAAAATATTATAAAAAAAAATAATTTTGGAAATATTCAAAGTTTATCAACACGCATTTTGGAGCAAAGCGGACATCTCATTCCTGCCTTATAATAATTATTATCATTATATTTGCAATCTATTATCGGTCGACGTAGGCGTTGGTTAAATTTAGTAATATAATTCATAGAAAGTTCACCAAAATATTCGCCGCAGGTTCCACCGTTGATAACCCACCTTTCACTAACTGTGTAATTGCAAACAAAAGGTACAAAACCTAGTAATATCCCCGGAGTGTTGCGTATTTCTGACTCTCAGTGTTACATCGGGCACAGTAGGACGAGTACCTTTTATGGTTTTTTTAGTTATTTTTTTTTCTCTCGGTTTCGGTAGCACACAGAAATATCTCGATTATTTCTTTAAATAATGGTTTATCAATAATTAATTAAAATATACTGTACCGTGTTAACTTTTTGGCAATATATCGGAAGAGAGAATTAAGCTATCTTCAGCTATGTATACAACTTCCTAGTTAAAAACTGAACCACTACTGGATAGTTTAGTTATGGGCTAATTTTTATAAGCAACATGTCTATAAGTACGAATCAAGAATGAAAAATTAGTTATAAAAACTTCACTTCACTCTTCAACTCAACTTAATCATCAGAACCTATGCCTTCATCAGAAAACAGCTATTTCGTACTTTGTTAGGAATTGCTACGTTCACAACGGACTTTTATCACTAAAACATATTGCAATCATTTAAGTAAACCAAACGTAGCAATAAAAAATAACGACTTTATTAACAACTAGCTGTGTCCCGCGGTTCCACCCGTGTATAATACGCGTCTGAGCCGCGTGACATGACACCTTACTTGTATAGTCGTTAACTGCTGGTTTTTCTCGGTTCTCATCGAGCGGCTAGGGTTATGCGTCGTTCGTGCACCGATCCGAGTGTTACATTATTTAAATTTTTCATTATCTCTTAAACTGTGCGTCCATAATATTTTTTTTTATAAGATAAGGGTGACAAACGAGCACACAGTCCACCTGATGGTAAGTGGTTGCTGCGGCCCATAGACATCTACATCTATCCTCTATTACAAATCAAAATGTAGATGCGTTGTCACCCGTGAGGACTAAGATGGAATGCCTCATTTCCAGTAAAAAGGGCCTCCGGACACCTGCACTCACCAAGCGAAACGCAGAGGTAAACCTCTTCTTCACGCTGGTTTTCTGTGAGGTCGTGGTACCACCCCGGTTCGAGCCGGCCCATCCGTGAGATAGCAAAAGCTGCCACGTGGCTCTACCACTGTTTAAACTGTCCATAATATGCAATAAAGATTAAAGTTTATCTTCATAAAATTGTCTTAATAATGAAGTAACTTTCGTTTGTAAGGCTTAATATGCCATGGCTAATAATAACGCTCATATATATTTTTTTTAATTTTAAATATCTTTTGTCAGAAAATACCTATTTGGACTTATATATAAGAAATAGGCATAAAGTACTGCAGACTTTTTTGTAAATGGAGTAAAGACCAATATATTTATACAACATTGTAGTCAGCGCACGCGGATAAAGCAGTTCGGGAACGCTTTTTCTTCCGACTTTGTTATAATAATTTTAAAGTTTAATATAATTAATATTTAAGTTTAGCTGAGAGGTGTAGCCTAATGCTAGATAGCCTATACTACATGAATCCCTCATAAATCTTTCTATTATTTACAAAAATAATTTTTCAAACCAGATGAGTAGTTCCAGAGATTAGCGTGTTTAAGCAAAAAAAACCATCTTCCGCTTTATTATATTAGCCCTTTCGCTGTCCTGTGCACTTCATATAGGTCATTGCTATTATCTTACTATTATGTCTGCAAACCAGACAGTGAAAGTGTTAAATATAATGTAGTATGATGATTAACAAACATAAAGAGTGTAATTAATCTTACCTTATGATACGGAATAGGAAGTCCTCACCCATTTTAATCTCCAGATATTGCTTCGTCTGATTTTTATCATTTTGCTCACTAAACAAAAATAAAACTGGAAAAAAATGAGAGTGAAGCTACCACGGCGGTAGAGGAGCTTTTTGATTCAAAAGACAAAACGCTCTATTGTAATGACATCCTTTTTGCTTTTCCTTTTTCTATAAAACTCAATTTGAAGACAAACGAAGGTACTGTCCACCTGATGGTAAGTGACTGCAGCAGTCTGTGGACACCTGTTGTCATATCTGAATACTAAAAGATACTAGCTCGCAGCCTGTAATTCTAGCTCCCTACATCCTTCAGACCGGCAATGCAAGATGATAAGTTATTACCTTGTATAAGTTATTGGACAGGTGGAAGAAAGTAGTAGAAAATGAGGGGCCAGTAGAATTTAAATAAATTTTAAAATTTAAAAATTTTCTAATCAAAAACGATACCCCCACACTAGGATTTTTTCCTGTGTCGTGGAGGCAGTTTACAAACATAAATTGCACAAGGACAAACATCCAGACCCGGAACAATTATTTGTGGGCCTGTATGGCCCAATACTTGTTCCGTGCGGAATTCGAACCCGCGGCCCCCAGCGCAACAACTGTTTGCTAAGCCACTGCGCCACGGAGCCGTTAAATTGACTAAACTATTGCTAAAATATTCATAAAAATTAGTTGCGTAAATTATTAATAGTAACTGAATTAAGTAATAATTGATTCATTATATTTTAATATTTAAAAATTTTGTACAACCGACTTCAATATATATTATTAATAATAACTCAAAAACTATTAATCAGACCCTGATCAAATTTAGATGTGACCACATGTGAAGTATTAACTTTCAAATAAAAAAAGAATCATTGAAATCGATTCAACCAGTAAAAAGTTATGAGGTAATACACTTAAAAAAAACACAGTCGAATTGAGTATCGGCTCCTTTTGAAGTCGGTAGAAAATATAAATATTTATAATAACGTATTAAATAATAAGATATTATTTATGCTCGTTAGCACTTAAATATTTAGTACTAATCAGGAATCGACACTGTAATCGCAATCTCTACTAAAAAAAATTCTCACGTAAGTCAATTTTCCAGGTCTGGCAGTCCCTTTCGTTGAGTTGACCGTTGCCCATGCCTCGGTCCTCACGATCCTCGCGATAAGCTTCGAGCGGTATTACGCAATCTGCGAGCCTCTTCGGGCTGGCTACGTGTGCACGAAGACCAGAGCGGCGTTAATTTGCGCCCTTGCTTGGTTCTTCGCCGCTCTATTCACCAGGTATTGTTATGTTTTTACTTAATTTTTCATCCTTTTGACGTATTTTATTAAAAAAAAAAAAACATCAATAATAAGCAAATAAATCTTTATTATTTATGTAATGTATCTTTAGAGTTCCAAACCATTCATAAATCTGTTTGCTGTTATTAATTTACAATATGTGTTAAATGACGATATAATATCAGAGTTAGCTTGTGTTCCTTTTTTAAAAATTATACAGTTTCTAATAATAATAATAAAAAAAAAACTTTGTTTCAATTATTCCCGAAGAACGAAGTGAGATTTCAAATTTTAGCTTAAACCATGGAATCTGTTACACTTAGGCAGAACCTACATAAATAGGCTTGAAAGCTGAAATAAATTCGTATTATTACCAACGTTACGAACCATTTGCTAAAGCTACGTACGAACAATTCCAATTTATAAGCAATAAATCACGCCGATGAAATTGGAGCAATTCGTGAAGTCAAGTCCAAACTGGAGGCAAAGTCGCAAACTTGGCAACCTAGTTAGTCATCGAGAAACTTTGTATTGTATTTATTTGTATTTCATACTCGATATACTCCAAATTTGTTACGTATGTGACTGGGAATTGATGTTTGTCAAATCGGGCTTATTTGCAAACATGTGAATATAATATTCATTTCTTATAATTTCTTATAAATTATTTGTCTAGTTTTCTATAATCTTTATCTTCAGTTTACTATTACTTCTACCTTGAAGATGTAAAAATCAATTGGCTAATATTTAAATTGATGTGTCTTAGCTAGATTTGTGCATCCTAAATAATGTTTGTAATTAATTTATGGTTTCTGTTAAAGGAAAATGTAAATTAATAATAGCAAACGATATCACAATTATTCATAAGTGTTCAATAATTTTTAAATTTTATAGAAACTAAGTGAACGAACCCACAGTCTATCTGATGGTAAGTGGTTACTGCATTGGACAACTGCAGCCAACTTCATACAAAGATCTGTATCCTAGATGAAGTCATCCCAGAAGACTAAGATACCATGCCTCACACCCTGTATACTGAACCAAAATACAGCAACGCAATCACTGCTAATTGTCGGCAGAAATAGGTAAATGGGTGGTACGTACCCAGATGGAAACCTAGTTTTAGTATATATATAATCCTTTCCATCTTAACGTGTGCGAATTAGTACTATATACATTAATTTATATGTAATATACAATAAATTTATAGGTATTTTACACAACAAAGTTAACTTTACATATTTATGTATATTAAACAATTTTTTGTAAATGTTTTTGTGTGTCTTGTGAAGGAATGATGAACATGAAGTTTGGCATACTATTCGTGTTTGATTTTTTGTGTGAACGGCTTCTTAATCTTAACAAATACTTTAAAGATTTGTCTGAAGAAACTGCAAAATTACACCCTGAATGGACTCTGGGTGCAGATTTGGCTTTTGCTATTATTTTAAACTAACCCTCGTGACAATGTTGCCCAAGGTCAGTACTTCATTAAACAAGTACTAGTACTTCATTTAACTTAGAAGCTATTTGTGAAATAGTTAAGAGAATCTGAATACTTTATTTGCTTTCCATAATGTCCTTCAGCAATATTTTTCTTACGCATATTTCTTAGAAATATTTACAAAATTAGCAACATGAATTAGTAGACCAACTTAATATTTCAAATTGGTCTACTAATTTCAGAATTAACTAAATATAACGTCACAGCACAACGACCATATTGCTCGAAGTACCGATAACCGATGGGGAAGCAAGGTTCTCGAGTGACAGCCTCGTACCGGTAGACGAAGTGTGCGGTGGCCCCTCACTATATGGATTGACGTCCTGGTAAGATATGCAGGAAGTCGATTGATGCAGGTGGTTCAGGACTATTGTGGCATTCTTTGAGGGAGGCCTATGTTCAGCAGTGGACTTTTGAAGGGTTGTAATGATGATGGTGAATCAATGTCACCCGGTCGGTCTGATAAATGAAAAGAATATACATAAATACCTTTGATAATCAAATTTTTACTCTTAGGTATATTTTATCATTAACCATTTAGTGCAGGTAGGTTTTCCTGTCACGGTTCTTTGAACGATGTCATCCGAAGAGCTCTTGTCTCTATAAATGTTCCATCGGTTGTAGAACTTTGTGGAATATTTAGAGACGATGGCGGGAGACCCGACGGTATGACTTTGGTCCCTTGGTAGAGAAGTAAAGATCTAGTGTGGGATGCTACTTACGTAGACACTTTGGCGACCTCTTATCTCAAGAGTACCTCCTTTAGAGCCGGGAGGGTACCAGAGGCAGCTGAATTAAGTAAGTGGCGCAAATATGAATCTCTGAGAGATGACCACATATTTGTGCCATCATGTTATCGATCCGTGGGGTCCACGTGCGGTTTTATTCCAAAAGAAACAGTATCCGCGACTGGTCGTCGCTGCTGGTGATAAGAGGGCTGGTTGTTTTATCGCTCAAAGGCTAAGTATAGTTATTCAGCGAGGAAACGCAGCCAGCGTTCTTGGCACGATACCACGGGGAGTAGGACTGTATGACAATTACATTTTATTTTTAGTTTTTCTTTATTATACTTTTTTAATAATGTATGTAACCTTTTAGTTAGATTTAATATTATACTATGTTTTAACAATGAAAATAAATAAAATCTAATAAATTTTAATGCAAACATTAACTTTTTTAAGTCCACCAATTACAACCTTACAGGCACCCGTGTATACTATTTTAGTGCCTTTCCATTTTTGAATACACACTTGTGGTGGCGGTCTAGAAGAATTTCATATTCCATTCCGTCCAGTGGGTTTCGGTAAGGGGCAAATTTGGGAAATCGTAACTCGTTACAAACTATCAAAAGTCCACTGCTGTACATAGACCTCCCCCATAGATTTCCTCATATTTGCTACAGTATCCACACTTGGCAGGTGAGTTGGCAACCTCTGTTTTTCATTATTTAGTTGTTATTAGTAAGAACCTGCTGCCCATCACTTGGTTTCTTTTTCATTTATTACAATACCCAAGGGGGTAGTACAATTTTTTCAACTGCCACTATATGTATTTTATTTATTTATTTATTTATCCTTTATTACAACACACCAAATAGGGGTTACAAAGGGCGGACTTAAGGCCCTATGACATTCTCCACCAGTCAACCCTACGAAAGATGGAATAAATAAAGATGTTGGAAGGCGCAAATTAAGGACAATAATAAAACATAAGTTATAAATAGAAACAGTTCAGCTATAATGTATCTATGGGTTATGGGGAATGCCAAAAATACTATGGCTTCGACTGATGGCAATATAATGGCTTTACATTAAGGCAAAAGCATCAAAAGAGGGGAGAACTGGTACTGCGTTGGTTAAGGCTCCCCCATTTGTAAGAAGGTCTTTTCCAGTAGTGGGTTTTACGGGCTGGTTATGAAGAAGTTCACTACTGGACGTTATATACCATTCAAACATAAAGTTCTCTGGCATGTTATTTTGTCAAAATAGGAGGAATCCTGTTTGAAAAATAAAATCACTTACTAAAGCTATGTTGACGTTTGTAACACCCATATCTTCGTTCTCTGAAACAGAAACAGAAATATTTTTATGCAATATAGACTTTAAATAATACTTATTAAAATTCATCTTTTGTTTAATTTATCACTGGTTCTGGAAAAAAACCTCTGTCCTAGAAAGAACCAGCAAGAAACTAATTGGGACTTTAAAAACAATAACAGCGTACAGTCATAAGTTACACAGTTAACAACACAAAATAAATTAGAAATAGTTGATCATCATCCATAAATTCCTTAATATTATAATAACCCTTTTCATACAACTTGGTAAAGTTTTTGAATGTCTTCGATTTAATTTTTTTTATAGTATAAGGGTGACAAACGAGCTCACAGTCCACTTGATGGTAAGTGGTTGCTGCGGCCCATAGACATCTACATCTATCCTCGTTTGCGAATCAAAATGCAGATGCGTTGTCACTCGTGAGGACTAAGATTGAATGCCTCATTTCCAGTAAAAAGGGCTTCCGGCCACCTGCACTCACCAAGCGAAACGCAGAGGTAAACCTTTACTTCACGCTGGTATTCTGTGAGGTCGTGGTACCACCCCGGTTGGAGCCGGCCCATCCGTGCGACAGCAAAAGCTGCCGCGTGGCGCTACCACTGTTACAATTGTTAATTCAAGTTTTTCTAAGATTCGCGAAACAGTCTTGCGTATATTACAAAAACTCATTTAGCACTATCTTCGAATACTACAAATTACAGGAATATATAGTAATTCTAATAGTACATTTAATGTTATTTAGTTTTTACAATAGCCAGCGCTTTTATTCCACCAGTACTTTTGTAAAAAGGTCATAAGCCGATTTTATTCTTTTGGGTTTGACGCTTATTGAAACTAAATTAAATCCTCTTTTAAATTACTGCATGATGTTGTCACAATATACCTGTTTTGTAAATGTGTAGCTTTAACGGTGATTATAAAGTCGTTTTATCAACAAGACCAGATTTATTTTTATTTATCCCATGTTTCTCAATTAGACCACTACATCACGTTAATTACATTTTAATTTCATTTATAAAATTATGAAATGAAATAACATAAATGAGCCGTGGTAGCTAGGTAGGGGCGAAGCGCTCGCTGTAAATTTCACAGTACGCGAGCAACCCGGGTTTGATACCCGCCGGGCACCAATGAAATCGTTAATTGTAATTTTAAGTGCTGATTTACCACGTGCTCGACGAGGAAGGAAAACATCGTGAGGAAACCTATATGTCTGAGAAATTAGAAAAAAAATTTCGAAGGATATATGAAGTTCACCAACACACATGCCCTTGCCCTAAAAACCCTCTCAGAATTGAGAGGAGGCCTGTGCCCAGCAGTGGGACGTATATAGGCTACGACATATATAGTAACTTTAACCTTTTTAACTTTTACAAAATTAAAAACTATGGTCTTTAATAAAAATCTAATCTGCTTCAAGATAAAAACGGAAACTCATA